ATGTTTTGATGATCAGTAATTTAATGCGCCCTGAGGCTAATCATTTACAGTCTGATGTGGCAATGAAAGTTTATAAATCCTGCTTGGCCCTGATGTAATTAATACCAGGTGTGAAATGAGATGTCATATTTGTGTATTTGGGATGCTCAGTCCATCAGGGATTTATCTGGTCCAACTGAGAGGATTACGGCCTAATCCGTCGAATTTTGAACAGCCAGCAGTGCCGATCCGTCGAATCATGCTTGAGTGGTTCTGTGCCAATGGGTCGAATTTCAGGATGTGTTAACACACTGGGAGAGTCTAAGTTCATTAATTAAGGGGTCAGCTTGTATTGGATTAGACTACATGGTTTTTTTAATGAACAAGAACATATTCCGGTGAAACACAGATGCCGACGAGTTCCATGTCCTCCTTGTATGTCCTAGGTATGAGGAGAGCAGACAAAAGTATCTACCAGAATATTATACAAAGCACCCATTTTTTTGGTTAAGTTTGTAGGACCACTAGCCAACCAAAATGAAAAACTTACCTTGTGTTAAGCAATTTTTATAACAAAGATAACTGAGATTAGAGAGACCTAAGTTTAATCCCTACCGTGCGATCTTTGTATACCTTACGTTATTATACTCCCAGGTTTATGACCAAGTCTAAATTACTACTCGAGAAGTTTGAACATCACAAACTATATATTTCTCCTTATGAATGCATTTTATTTAATGCATCAATTTCAATTTAATACAAAAGTACAAAAATATAGAGAGTCCAAACATATGTTTAATGCATCAATTTCTAATTGTATCATATGAGTAGGCAAAGATATATACTGTACAAAAGTACAAAGATATAGAGAATCAAACCATCCAACACCCCTTGCGTCTTTTTTTTGGTATGATCCAATGCTTTGATAACTAATTCATAGCTAAGATCACAGTGCCAATCCTTTGAATGTATTTTACTACTCTGAAATCAGAAATTCGACGAATCGGCACGCGACCACTGAGAGGCTGTTAGTCCAAAGTCTGTGGTAAATGTCAGTAATTTTCGAAAACTGACTATAAACAGTCCACCCAAAGTCAAAGATCTTTATTATGTATGAAGGCCACCGTCCCATATACATATAACATATATACAATCAAAATGTATTAGAAGCATGACATAAAACAAACAAAACCCAAATCAAGTTCACATCAGTTTTGAATGTGACTTGTATTTAATTGATAGTAGGACCAGAAAGGAAGGTGAGACTTTAATACATAGTTTGAAATTGCAAAATTGCATTAAATAACATCTCTGCCAATGAAAGAGTGAGTGAGTATGGTTTTGCGCCACTCTCACTCACTCACTCACTCACCCACTCACTCACTCACTCACTCACTCACTCACTCACTCACTCACTCACTCACTCACTCACTCACTCACTCACTCACTCACTCACTCACTCACTCACTCACTCACTCACTCTCACTCACTCACTCACTCACTCACTCACTCACTCACTTGCAATCAACCAACCAATCATTCACTACTTTAGATTTCCACGATGGCTACAAGGAGTTCAGCATCTGGCTTCTTCCCTCACGTGTGTCCAGCCTCCGGCAGCGGCGGCATCCAGCGACTCCATGGACGACTTCCTCTACCAGAATCCATCTTCTACATGATCACCGGAATCAGCAGCATACTGTATGTCACATACAAGCTGTTTCAAGCATCTCAATGTAAGCACTTGTCATGATTGATGGAACTTGAAAACCTCCGACTATGATAGGGCAATTACACTTGGTATCCAATGAAATCAGCTGCGTGTAACTTGTAATTCAAGTAAAACGTCACTGTAACCTGTTATTTTATGAGTCCCAGATTGGTCACAGATGCTAGGCTAATTATGGATTCTATTGCTCAGTAGTGGTGATCCGATTAATTGAAATAATCGAAGATTGGTCGCAGTGACTAAACGACCAAGCAATCGATCATGTTTTCTCATAATCGAACACAAACAATTCTGGAACACTTGTTTTCATCAACAATATTTTTCACAAGGTTGGTTTTGTCTGTTACATTTCATAAGCACTACAAGCGTTCCAAGTCATGATTGAATTTATCTTAAAGACACCAAGAGATTTATGTTCCTAACATACTAGTCATCCTTTAAAGATGTGAAATTTTGCCCAAAACCCCAAAATAACTATGTTTTTTTCCTTATTTTTTGTGCATTAAGAAATTTCATAAATGACGCTAACCAATTATTTTCGATGATTGATCGGTGGTAATGAACCAATCATCAATTATGAGCTTTTAACCAATTCCCAACACTATTGCTCAGAATCTGTCAACACATAACGTTCCCAGATTACTAACGTTATGTGTTGACAGGGGAACTAACTCAGAATTTAGATGAATATGTAGAGTTCCAACTTGATTATACAAACACAAATACACAATTATCAGAACACACTCTCAGACATATCAAGGACACTAATGAACAGAATCTCAGACCTCACTGATGCTTCCATTGGACTAAGCTTGTGGTTTGTATTGCAGAGAATATGAAATTACATGAACATAGTGCATATATTGTGATCATCATTGTCATATTGCAAGAATGCTCTCACCAAAACCAGACTTTAATCGAGTTATTGATTTATAAAGCAAAAAACACAACAAAATCACTATGCTTGATTAAACTTTAATAAAACTTTTAATCATGTTAAAATGAAGGGAACAAGGAAAATATCAACACAGTGGTTACTAGTTTGAACTAGTTTCTCCACTATCAAAAAAACCCCGAGATTTTAGACAGCAACTTGACCTGGTCAGGACATATCAGGGATCACTGGTCATTAATGAGTAACTATATATATAACATTCAGATCAAATACTTTGCGAAACATTTGAGCAAAAATTAAGAACACAATTTCAAACCGAACTTAACTTGATTTTCGGTGTGAAAAACGGAATTATCCGAAGAGATCCGAGTGTTACAAAGTTTTCCGAATGCATGTCGAAAAACCGGTTTTCGATCGCGGTATCGCAATACGTATCGATTTCATGTCTGATACGGTAAACACCGGTAAACCGGTTATATTGTGCAGCCCTACTTAATACACCAGAATACTGCTGATAATCTCATAAAACAATATTCACTCACTCAGACGATGTCTCTGTGAAGATGCCACCCCCCAGTACCCTGTACCAAGCTAACTGGGAAACAATTGTTTTTGTAAAAAAATGGGAATTATGTTCATTTATATTTTCAATTATAGGTAGGCTAATGTCAATTCATGTCAAAAGTGCCAAGCTATGAAATATTGTTGATGGTTATCATGTCTGCGGATTAGATATTGTAGTCTGAAATTGTGGAATTTTCTATCACTATTTACTTCAGTGCCGATTGCATTCATTTGAGAATGGCAAGATAAATTCTAGATACTCTATTTGCATTGAATTGCAGTTGTGTAGTATTGAAACTGAAATGTATAGTGAGTGAGTGAGTGAGTTTTTAGCAACATTTCAGCAATATCATGGCGGGGGACACCCGAAATTGACTTCACACATTGTGCCTGTGTGGGGAATCGTCATGTGTGGTCCTTGTCATGACGAGCAAAAGCTTTAACCACTAGGCCACCCCGCTGTCCCTAGGAGTGCTGAGTGTACAGTTACCTGTGTCTATTTCAGACTATCAGTGGTTGTTGACAGAAGACGACTTCATTGATGGCTGGTCATTCCTGGGACAAAAGAAGGTACCATGACTTTGCTTTGTCTTTTCTGTCTCACGCTGAATCATCTGCATGTCTTTTCTGTACAGTTAAAGCCTTATTTTCAAAATGTCGTTATTTTATCACAAAACAAGCATGTGGGGATTCTGTGTTACAACTGGTCTCCTATAACCTATGTTGATCGTGAGAAGCAAATAAATGGATCAGGTTGTCAGCAGACAGACTCACCAACTTGGTGGATTGTTTGTGATCAAATGAAATGGTGGCTCACAATATCGACCACTGGATTGGGCCAGACTCCATTAATTACAGTCACTGATATGTAGATGGGATATCGTTCAGTGCAGTGGTAAACGACAGACATAAAAACAGGGGCGGATACAGCTTTTTTAGAAGGGGTGGGGAGGGGGTGCACTCTTTTGAGAAGGAGGTGGAGGGTGGGGTGTTGCACACTTCAATTTCAGGAGAGTTTCAATGGTCATTTAATAAACTTTCAGGACAAAAGGGGTGTGTGTGCATCCCTGCACCCCCCTCTGGATCCGCCTATGTAAAAACAACTCACATACTCTATATTATCAAAATGATTGTTGTTTTTTATTGTAATCAATTTGATATTGTATTTGGTGTTCCATTATCTGTAATATATTTTTCAGGACATTTCAAATTATGAATGGAATTTTTGGTCAGGTTACTTTGGAAACTCCTTCCTTGGGGCATTGGCCATATCATCATTGCTCGGATTGTTGAAAGACGGTTCCTTCATGTAAGTTGGCACCGTCAGATGAGATAACATGCTAAATGCTAAATGAATAAAATTGTCTGATAAGAGCGGTGGGTAGCCTCGTGGTTAAAGCGTTGGCTATAGAATGTTGTAGTTGAAACTTTGTCATTAAAGCACCTCCTGTCTGATAAACGGGATATGTTTCTGCATTGGTTTTAACATCTACTTAATGATTAAACCTGCTCAACAATCGTAATTCTTTTTTCATTTTAGTTTCCTAATGCTTTGTTCAGGACATACTCTCTCATAAACACGTTTCATCTCCTGGGCTATATGACACCTGTGTTTTTTTCTTCTTTGATTGGCATTCTAGAAGTTGAGGAGATGAAGAAGGAGAACAATTTTTATGGATATACAACTTCTTTATTCTGTATAGGTGACGTTTCGACATAGATTCTAATGTCATTGACAACTTGCTTGAAAACGTCATTAGAAACTATGTCGAATAAAGAAGTTGTATATCCATAAAAATTGTCCTCAATCTTCATCTGTGTTTATATTTCCAGCTTCGAAAGCCAGTGTTTCTGACATACTCCCTCGTGAGTGTGTCGTATCTCCTGGGCTACCGAACAGTGTTGTTCTTCATCTCACATGGGTGTATTTGCTACCTGGCGTCCTCGGTCGGCAGCTTCGTCCTGGTGTGGGTTGTTACTCTTCTGCTGCTGTCTACTCTCAACTATGAAGCATTTGCGCCACTCATGGTATGGTTAAGTTTATTGATGCCAATATATTTTCCTTTAAATAGGCATAAACATAAACTACGTAATAGATTTTTCTGAGTATGCTCACTGGTTTTATGTTTTTAATTCGTAAACACAGAAAGCATATTTATGTCTATTGTTAAAAATAACTATGTCAACAATTATAATTCATGGACTGCAGGGGCGGTGGGGTAGTCTAGTGGTTAAAGCGTTGGCTCGTCACACCGAAGACCCGGGTTCGAATCCCCACATGGGTACAATGTGTGAAGCCCATTTCTGGTGTCCCCCGCCATGATGTTGCTGGAATATTGCTAAAAGCGGTGTAAAACCAAACTCAGTCAGTCAGTCAGTCAGTCATGGACTGCATATTGAATCATGAACATTCAAAGACATGTAGACAACAGAAGGAAATCCTTGACATCAAACAGCACAATAACTAAACACAATAATGTCCCATACAATTGTTATTTGCACAATTTATTCATTGGGGAAAACAATCAAACAGTGACTGGAACTCTGAGTCACCCTGCGTATTAGGAGGAATAAGGAAAAATATGCCTTTGCATTGCTTGTGTAAATCTTTGTTCCCAAATTAAGTGTTGTGCCAGTCAGTCTGTAGGAGCATGAAAATCATCTGCCGTACGATGGTTGCTGGAATATTGACCTTCAGTTCAGTCTGTCTGCCTCTGTGTCTCATTTCCGCAGCATTAACAAAAATATGTTCGGAATATTCTACATTTCCTTTATACACATCCTTGTTCTTAGAACCGCCTCCGTGGTGTAGTGGTTAGAGCGTCCGCCCGGAAAGCGGAAGGTCGCGAGTTCGATCCCCGGCCACGTCATACCAAAAGACGTTAAAATATGGTACTTGTTGGTCCCTGCCTGGCGCTCGGCTTTAATGGGTACAATAAGGACCGGTCGGCTCGGAGTCAGTATAATGTGTCTGAGTGGGGTATTCATGCTTCACTGCGGCATGGTATCTCAGTGGGCTAGCACTATAAAACCAGCTTAAGTCTGTGCTAGTACAAGCAGCCGCACATACACACGCATGCACGTCGTCATATGAGCGAAATATTCTCAAGCACGACGTTAAACCCAATTTCACCTCACCTCACCTTGTTCTTAGATCATCTTTTTAATAGTCAAGCTTGATATTTATGTAATGATACAAAGCATATATTGTTTGGGACAGCAACGACTTGTTTTAACATTGTTCCCGTTAGCAACAAGAACTTTGTCTAAGTCTGCGAATCAGAAACTCAGATAATTTGAGTCTACTGAATATAAATGTCGGGGGCTAGTTCTGAATATTTTCTTTCATTTCAGCAACAACTTTGTGGTATCCCGAAAACAAGGGAAGGATACTACCTGTTCATATTTGTGTTGGCACTGGTCATTCTGCGCTATGCCAGTTTCAGTCTCGAGAGAAGCAGATACATTGCTGCAAAGGGGGATAACTCTGTTTCCAAGGAGAAGACAACTGACAATGACGACTTCTCCGTGGCAGATCTCTTGCTGTACATGTTTTATTTGCCTCTCTTCTTCACTGGACCACTCATCACTTATGACAAGTTTAAACTGCAGGTAGAGATTCTTAAAATGTAACAATATTATATCAAGAATTGTTAGGGTCTGGTTATAAATGAAATGTTTGTTACTCTAGAGTGTTGGCAATGACACAGGTAGAGATGAAACTACCTTTGTCTAGATTGAACCAGTCTGTGCAGGGAAGACAGGGGTGGAAATAACTTTAAAATTGCTAGTGTACTTCGGTACAGTGGCACATGTAAAATCACTTGCCCTGATAATTTTTCCACTGTACCGGCCGTTTTCTTGTTGATTTTTTAAATAAACAACATAATTTACATTGGAAAGTCAACTGGACACCGGTACAGTGTGATATACAAATTTGCTTGCCCGACAGAAAATAACACTGTACTCGGACGTCGGGCAATAGGTTATTTCCACCCCTGGAAGATAACCCAGTAACAAATATGGTGATATCCTAGAAATATTTTTGTCCGATATTTTCTCTAAAGAAGATTTTTAAGTTACTAGTAACATTATTAACAAAACTCCACAAAATACACTTAATTAGATATTTTCTCAACACACTGACCATTGAGATCATATCACTGTATATCTGTGTACCTGCAAAACCATGCTGTGTTTCAAATTAATATGATATGTCCTGACATCATTGCAATCAGTCAGAAGACAAGGTTACACCTTAAATACACTCATACAGTTCCTCTTGGAAATTCTCATGGGAGCAGCCATGATGCTGAATGCCTTACATGCCTTGTATATACATAATATGACATAGACTGTTGTGAAATCTAAAAAATCAGGGTACACACGAGTATATCAGGGTACGCAGGGTGGAGCACAATACAGCAGCAAATACCTGGGTCCAGTTATATATATCGTTTTTTATCATGGTAAATTTTGATGGTAAATCAGTTGAACCTATCATTTATAGTTTATGTTGTTTTTTTCATGGTTAGGCCAGACCAATTTTATTTCTTGTTTTACGGATCCGCCTGTCGTATTTTGTCAAGAATAAGAAAAAAATAAAAATTAATTTTACCCACTTAAAAAATAAAATCCTAATGTTTTTATTGGCCAAAAATGTAAACATACAAGAAATTTTGTGTTTAGATTGTTTTTTGCCCCATATACACTTCATAAATTGCCAAAAGTAACATACTTTGAGTATTTAGAAGGAATATTACTTTGACTGGTGATTTTAAAAAAATTTTTTCCCTCCTGCCTTTAGGTTTTCTGAGGACAAAAATACGTAAAACAAGAAATAAAATTGGTCTGTAGAATATAAGAATATTGCCTTACGATGTGTATGTAAAATACGGTTTTGAAAAACACTTGTCTAAATATGATTTGTGTCAGAATCAATACCTGAAAATTAAAAATGTATTTGTGAAATTATTGGATGTGTTTCAGATGAATTCACCCCCAGCTGCATGGACAAGAGACCGGATAATTACTTCCATAAAGGGATTCATACGTGTGTTTTTCTGGGCCTTCTTCTTGGAGCTTTCCCATCACTACCTGTACTACACCGGCCTGCTTCACAACATCACCGCTGTACAGGAGATGTCACTGTGGGCCCTTGTGGGCATCGGCTACACGGTGGGTCAGTACTTCATGGTCAAGTACTTGGTGCTGTATGACCTTCCAGGTCAAGTGGCCAGACTAGACGACCTTGACCCACCACTTGGACCAAAGTGCATCTCGTACATCTACCGATATTCCGATATGTGGAAGTAGGTGACTTTTATGCTGTAATTATTTTGGGGTGATAATTGGGGTTATTTTCACAATTTCTGTGTCATTTCATTAGCAGCCAACATTCATTAGTATTTTGATATTAATCAATCAACTTCAAGATTTTGTAATTATGTTAATCAATTTATTGGAAAGGAAAAATATTTCTGACTATCTCCAAGTCGTTCATCTTCCTCCCTGTGGCTGTAGAAGCCAAAAGGAAAGTACCTCAAATCTGAAGTTGTTATGGTTATAGCTAATCAACATATCAGGCAGGTTTGAAATTAAGATGATTTGTGTTTAATTTATAGCTTACTGCAATTATTGAAACCATCAACTGGTGTGCATACTATTGACTGTTCTATTGTCATTTTTCAATTCCTGTTGATATTGTACTATGGGATGCCAAACAATTGGCAATTTTGTTAAGGAGTGGTAAAGCTTTTCAATGACTCCATCTTGTTTTGTACTGACATATTTATTTTTGTTTCAGGTTTTTTGACAGAGGTCTGTATACATTCCTTAGAAAGTAAGTTTGTTTTGTTTTAACTGTGTCCTAATTGTAATTTTAGTGCAACTATTATATTAATGCATGCTTTGTGACGTTTCTTGCTGCTTCATTTTCTTATGTTGTAAGACTGTATACCTGTGATGCCAATATTGTAACACTGTGTATCTGTGACAGCTATCTACATCTTAACACTGTGTGTCAATAACTACATTTATGTCATAGCATGACAACTACACCTGCATTATAACACTGTATCTATGACAATACATTGTAACACTGTCTCTATGACAACTACATTGTAACACTGTGTCTCTATGACAACTACATTGTAACACTGTGTCTCTATGACAACTACATTGTAACACTGTGTCTCTATGACAACTACATTGTAACACTGTTTATGACAACTACATTGTAACACTGTGTCTCTATGACAACTACATTGTAACACTGTCTCTATGACAACTACATTGTAACACTGTTTGTCTATGACAACTACATTGTAACACTGTTTGTCTATGACAACTACATTGTAACACTGTGTCTCTATGACAACTACATTGTAACACTGTCTCTATGACAACTACATTGTAACACTGTGTCTCTATGACAACTACATTGTAACACTGTTTGTCTATGACAACTACATTGTAACACTGTATCTATGACAACTACATTGCAACACTGTTTGTCTATGACAACTACATTGTAACACTGTTTGTCTATGACAACTACATTGTAACACTGTTTCTATGACAACTACATTGTAACACTGTTTGTCTATGACAACTACATTGTAACACTGTCTATGACAACTACATTGTAACACTGTGTATCTATGACAACTACATTGTAACACTGTGTCTCTATGACAACTACATTGTAACACTGTTTGTCTATGACAACTACATTGTAACACTGTTTGTCTATGACAACTACATTGTAACACTGTTTATCTATGACAACTACATTGTAACACTGTGTATCTATGACAACTACATTGTAACACTGTTTGTCTATGACAACTACATTGTAACACTGTGTGTCTATGACAACTACATTGCCACCCATTGTCTATGACAACTACATTGCAACACTGTTTGTCTATGACAACTACATTGTAACACTGTCACAATGACAACTACATTGTAACACTGTTTGTCTATGACAACTACATTGTAACACTGTGTATCTATGACAACTACATTGTAACACTGTGTCTCTATGACAACTACATTGTAACACTGTGTCTCTATGACAACTACATTGCAACACTGTTTGTCTATGACAACTACATTGTAACACTGTCACTATGACAACTACATTTGCAACACTGCAACACTGTTTGTCTATGACAACTACATTGTAACACTGTTTGTCTATGACAACTACATTGTAACACTGTTTGTCTATGACAACTACATTGTAACACTGTTTGTCTATGACAACTACATTTAACACCACTTCATCTGTCTATGACAACTACATTGTGACAACTACATTGCAACACTGTTTGTCTATGACAACTACATTGTAACACTGTGACCTATGACAACTACATTGTAACACTGTTTGTCTATGACAACTACATTGTAACACTGTTTATCTATGACAACTACATTGTAACACTGTTTATCTGACAACTACATTGTAACACTGTGTATCTATGACAACTACATTGTAACACTGTGTATCTATGACAACTACATTGTAACACTGTTTATGACAGCTACATCTACATCCCCCTGGGTGGGTCTCAAGCAGGGATGCTGATGCGTCTCCTGGCATCCATGATGTGCTTCCTCTTCATCTACTTTTGGCACGGGGAGGAGTACTACCTGCTGCTGTGGTCTATTGCAAACTACATTGGATGCTCCCTGGAGCTACTTGTCGGACAACTGGAATACACAACATTTGTCACAAATATAAAGGTGAGATTCTGGATTTGACTATTAATAAGCAATTCCTGAAATATTCAAATGCGAGGTTGTCAGAGTATCTTTGACGTCATATATGTAAGATGTTACAAATAAATGTGTTTTTAAATGTTTCAAAGGCTAACAAGAAACTCTTGCAATAAGTGATGAACACTAGGTTTAATTGTACCATGTGCCTTTCAACAAATCATGGTCGGGCAAACCAGTGGCTGAAAACATGAGCAACAATCCATGTATGGAGTGTGAGGAAAACCAATAGCCAGGCATGAAGTACAGAATCCATTTTTGACCTAGAATCACCACCGGTTGTCATGCCTTTATACAACACAATCAGATGTTATCATTTGTCATAAGATGGTACAGGTGTTATACTTGGGATCATATTTTGTTTTTGTATTTTATATATTTTTGTATGTTTAGAGACATTTGAACTTAGATATATTTTGTTGAATTTCTCTCTGATGATAGTGAAATAGGGGATTAGGTCTATCCACTTCTCCACAAAAACTGCTCAACAGAATTGATTAAGCTTATACATGTGTTTCATTGGGACTCGAAAGGTGTGCATCTCAGAGTTGCATAGATGTTTATTGAACTTTTCTGTGAATTTTGTTCAATTATTGATCTTTATATGATAATAGGTTGTGTTATCTAACCCCTCAACACATTGTTTTTAGTGTTTTCAAGTACTTCAGTGGGACCCTGAATGTGTGAACTCTTCCTACAGCAGCGGGGGCATCTGTGTCCCTGGACACAATTTTTTCTTGTTTGTTTATATAACACCATAGTGCCTCACTCACTGATCTCTAGCAAGATAATTCAACTGTTGACTCAGCAATTTTCTTCAAGTTTACTGAGTTACGGATTCTCGTAGGTAATGAAAACTTAATTGTATCTAAATTTACACAGAGACAAAATGACTGGTTGACTACAGTGAGAAGTGAGATATGAACATATGATTGTTAACTGACAGCTTAAGAAGAACAAATCATGGCAAAGTTGCCTCCCTTGGTTTGTAAGGCTACCTTTCATATTGTTATTGAGTGAAAGCATAAAATAGTGATGTTGACATTACCTTTAGCCTGAATAACGTGAAAATAATGTATCTATAGATATCAAGATCCTTTAGGCAAAGGAACTTGTGAAGATCTGGGTTAGAATTGAATCATGTGGGAATCGAATTGATTGTCAAGAACACATGCTTGTTGTAAGAGGCGACTAGTGGGATCAGGTGGTCAGACTCTGTGACCTTTTTGTCCTAATTGCCTAGACCGATGCTCATGCTGTTGATCACTGGATTGTCTGGTCCAGACTCTATTGTTTACAGACCGCCGCCATATAGCTTGAATATTGCTGAGTGTGGCGTAAAACTAAACTCACTCATTCACTTAAACATCCTCACTCACTCACTTAAACACCCTCACTCACTTACTTAAACATACTCACTCACTCACTTAAACATACTCGCTCACTCACTCACTCACTCACTCACTCACTTAAACATTAAACAAACTATCAGTAAAAGACAGGTCACTTATAAAGTATTTAGTAGATTTTCTTTCATTTTTTTTATAAATGAGTTATAAAGCTCTGAGTTAAGTTATTGTGCATTGTATGCAACTGCAAATCAAAGTTATTAATGATTCCTGGATCAGGAAATCAGTGAAACATGTCTTCAAGTGTTGAATATGTTTTGACCCAAAACAACATCTGAGGAATTTTCCAGTTAGAAAAAATAGGCAGCTTGCCCACACTTAAGTCATATCCCCTGAATCATGAGTGCTAAAGTACAAGAATAGATATTGCTTTTTTCTCCGGAAGTGTTTGTACACACATTTTTGTACCAAACTGAAAAAAAAATCAAACTTGGCCATTATCACGGACAACATTGATGTATTACTCTGATTATGTCTACGAGGTCCGGGCACTGTATAATCACATGGAATTAGTATTTGCACAAGTTTATTTAATCATGGTACAGAGAGATTTTTCATTCTCATCATTGTTTTTTCTTTGGTTAATGCTTTTGTGTGCAGTTGCCATGGAAACAGTGATTTTTTCTGTGATTCAGGCTGTGTAAGTTTAATAATGGAATATTCTGATCAAGCAAACCAATGTATGTAGTTATCTACTCCGCGATTGAATTCTCTTTGACATACAAATGGTCCTGAAATAAGCATTGATATGGTTGTGTGGTACAATTATTTATCATAGGTTAGCATTATGTAAATGAGTTATTTGAGATGTTGCGTATGCATTATGTTTTGAAATAATGTTAACATCTGTTTCGAACATTTCTTTTTTTAAAATGATTACCTTATGAAGTTTTCATGCATTTTGACATTTTAAACAAAACCAGTTACGTTTTAGCTAAGCATATCAGCAATTTAATTTCTAAGAGATTCAACTTGAAGATCTCATACCCTCCATTAGTGACTCAGGAATACACATATTCACATCCTCATCTGTACTTGTTGTCAGCCCAACATCCAGTATAGATGCTGGAACGTTCATCATCGCTGACTTGGTTGACTCATGTCATCGTATCCCAATTGTGTAGATCGATGCTCATGCTGTTGATCACTGGATTGTTTGGTCCAGATTCGACTATTACAGACCGCCGGCATATAGCTGGAATATTGCTGAGTGTGGCATAAAACTAAACTCTATCACTCACATTCATCAAACACCTGTGAGGAGCCAGGTTAGAATTGGTCTTCAGCAACACATGTAATAAAGATGGCTAACCGGTTCGAGTGGTCTGGCTCGCTGACCTGATGGTGCATGTTATCATATGCCAGTTGAGTAGATCGATGTTTATGGTGTCTATCACTGGATTGTGTATTCCGCACTCAATTATTTACAAACCACTGTCATGTTCACCTGATGAAGGGACCTGGAATGGTCTCGAAACGTCGTGAGAGAAATTAAAAAGAAGTTTAATCCATAAAAATATCTTGGACATCAATGTACAACTTCTAAATGCCACTGAAAGACATCACTGTCATGAAGCTGGAATATTCCTAGTGTGGTACTTAACAAAATATAAATAAACAAACATTCATCAACTGATTAAAAATGGATGTGCATGCATGGTTATATAATTGAGATTATTTCAAATTAGGGGTTGTTATAAACAACAGAAATAACATTGATGGCAGTTGATGACAATGATGGCGCCCTGAGCCTTGGGAATTCCATAAATAAACACTTTCTTCTTTGATACTTTTGAAATAATTGTGTGTGACATTAAGATTTGTAATGGAGATATGGTAGGAATCTGACTGTGTTAAGTCACCCCACTGGTCGAGCTGGTTCTATTTCCAGAACATACTGACAGATATGATTTCTCTCAATGATTTGTTTGTTGTGTAATGACACACTTAGCAATATTTCTGCTTTATGGCGGTGGTCTGCAAATAATCGAGTCTGGATCAGACAATCCAGTGATCAACATCATAACCATCAATCTACGCATTTGGGATATGATGACGTGGTAACAAGTCAGTGAGCCTGACCAACCAATCCTCTTAATCGCCTGTAACAACAAGCATGGGGTGGTGGAGACCAATTTTGAGAAAGATGCTTATAATATACCGACATGTGTTATTGATGCTTTAGAGAAATCTGAAAAGCTTTGTATTGTGATCCAATAAGTATGCAAATGAGGTTGCTAGCTCCGGAACATCTTTAAGGATCCATACATCAATGTTTTCAGTGTTTTCTATATACACCATTGACTTTTCTTCCCAATATGGCAACAGATATGTCCCAAGTCATTTAGATATCATATATTAAGCAGTTCACTAAAAAATTATACTCATACTCAATTTCTAAAAGCTTTCATTGAGATGAAATTATGTCTTAAACTTCCATAATTGTAAGACATTAAACCGCCTCCGTGGTGTAGTGGTTAGAGCGTCCACCCAGAGAGCGGAAGGTCGCGGGTTTGTTCCCCGACCGCGTCATACCAAAAGACGTTAAAATATGGTACTTGTGGGTCTCAGCATTAATGGGTACAACAAGGACTGGTCGTCTCGGAGTCAGTATAATGTGTCTGTGTGGGGTATTCATGCTTCACTGCGGCATGGTATCTCAGTGGGCTAGCACTATAAAACCAGCTTAAGTCTGTGCTAGTACAAGCAGCCGCACATACACATATACACGCATGCACGTCGTCATATGAGCGAAATATTCTCAAGCACGACGTTAAACTCAATTTCACCACACCATAAAACATTCAATTATTAATGGATTGTTATCCTTATAATCCCGATAAGATCCCCAGAAGAGTACCATCCAGAATAAGGGAGTTTCACTATTTCTTACCCAGATCACTGTAGACCCACCATTGTAATGTTCAACTTCATTTCATCATCACTCCCCAGATCACTGTAGACCCACCATTGTAATGTCCATCACACCACTTAGACCCACCATTGTAATGTCCTACATCATCATCATCACCGACAGTGCCCCCACTGTAGACCCACCATTGTAATGTCCTCACACAACTTCACCGCTTACATCATCACGACGGCATGGCCCGATCCACAGTGTCCCCCACTGTAGACCCACCATTGTAATGTCCTCACACACACAACTTCACCGCTTACATCATCACTCCCCGACAGTGCCCCACACCACCTTACATCATCATCACCCGACAGTGCCCCACTGTAGACCCACCATTGTAATGTCCTCACACAACTTCACCGCTTACATCATCACCCCGACAGTGCCCCCACTGTAGACCCACCATTGTAATGTCCTCACACAACTTCACTGCTTACATCATCACCCCGACAGTGCCCCCACTGTAGACCCACCATTGTAATGTCCTCACACAACTTCACCGCTTACATCATCACCCCGACAGTGCCCCCACTGTAGACCCACCATTGTAATGTCCTCACACAACTTCACCGCTTACATCATCACCCCGACAGTGCCCCACTGTAGACCCACCATTGTAATGTCGACAGTGCCCCACTTAGACCCACATTGTAATGTCACTCACACATCACCACTTACATCATCCCGACAGTGCCCCACTGTAGACCCACCATTGTCCTCACACAATGTCACACATTTGTAATGTCCTCTCACAAGTTCACCGCTTACATCATCACCCCGACAGTGCCCCCACTTAGACCCACCATTGTAATCTCCTCACACAACTCAACTGGGTGTTGTGTGTCAGTAGAATATATGAGGATGGTACCATGGCAGTCAGCAAGGAACTGTTCTGGTCAATGTTTTCTCAATAACATGCAAAAAAACATACGCCTATTTTAGAGAATGGTTCAAGTTCCCCCAAATTATTAGGTGCTATTTTTATCATTTGTTGAGTAATTCCACTAATGATTTTCAGTTTGACAACATAGCAAGCTCCTTTGCTGTAACAAGGGATGCCTCAAGTTTCTCATGACAGTTGTTTTATGACTTCCCATGTTACATTCACATCAACACTGTCATTACTGGTGTGTTTTATGTTCTGTGTAATGTGTGTAGGCAAGATACCTGTCGCCAGCAATGGTTCGACGCCTCCACTGTGTCCTGGTCGTTCCACTCTTCCTCATGTCCTGCTTTGCTGTCTTCTACTTCTTCGGAGGGCTGGCGTTTGGAGACGTCTTTCTCCAGAGACTTGTAACTCAAGGTAGAGTCATGTTTTGCTCTTCTTAATTATTTATCATTTGTTTCGGTATTTTTATTAGATTTTTCTTTTGAGGTTAAGTTTTTTACATTGAAGTATAAAGTATCATGTTTCAGAGAAATATGTTTTGAGATGAAACATATTTTAAATTACTTATTTTCTTTCTAAATCTAAAAAAGTAATCAGATAAAAAGGAACATTAGTGGGTGGTATAGAAACTGATCTGAGATGTTGTTTTTGCTTTATGTAAATCTGCAGACTAACATAACCTCCTTTCACTTTTTGTGTGAGATTTTGTACTTAACTCTTTCCATGATATAACATAATAGGTGTTGGGGATACGATGCCAATTTTTATTCACATTGACACATAAAATAACAAACTTTTCATATAAATACATAAAATCCTCCTCTCTTAACACTAGTAAAAATCTATCAGTAAAACAGGTTGCCCAGGGAGGTGGGCGGGTGTCTTTACACGTCGACTGCAGCCGCGAGACTGACTCTTCGTCCCGTATGACGACGAAGTCGCGATGCCACATCAGACGACGCCCAAGCGTGCAAGCTTAGTGGGCGGGTGCCGTTTTCGATACTGGCGGTGAGGCTCGTCTGTCCATGACCTGGAGTTAAACTTTAATAATATAAATTATTACCCCTTAACTCTTTCCATGATATAACATAATAGGTGTTGGGGATACGATGCCAATTTTTATTCACATTGACACATAAAATAACAAACTTTTCATATAAATACATAAAATCCTCCAAACCCCCAACACCTATTCTGCACATGATGCTGCTATTATCATTGCTTTTGAAAGTTTATCATGGGTTACTCCATCTACAGAAGCGTGATTCTTTCATTAGCGTTTGATTTCCAGTCTCCATGAGTTTAATGAGCATGGGTGACACACCTATCTTGTGGCGAAGGTACACCTAAGCCTGAACGAATGGCCACTGTAGCTATCTGTCGGTACCACAGGCCCCAGCACTTTCTTTAGTGCTGTAATAAAGGCCGATTATCGTTAGACCACAGATCTTACCATCACACATGAAAGAAAAACAGATGATTTGTGGCGTAACTTGCCTTGGATCTCACGCAGTGACCTGAGTGCTGTAACGGGGCACAAAGGGGACCCTTCAGACTGGCCAGTGGCAGTCGTAACACCCTCTGTCCGAACTGAATAGTCTTAGAATGTCGAATGGTCACATAGGCAGTAGCATCATTAACAATAACATCACGAACACACAATTGGCGATCAGGAGACTTACTTTGTTTACCAGGTAACAGTGTAGACTTTCTCATGAAGGTGAAGAAAGCCACCAAACATGCACTCCAAAATGCGATGTTAAATGGGATAGATAAATCGAGTTTAGATCTGATTTGTCGCAGAATGGTTAGCGTGATAGGTAATTTCTGTGCTGGTGGCTTGCCTTTAATCGCATGACACCCCTTCTAACTAGACTTAACGTCCATGCGGTGAGGGGTTGTCAAAGCCAGAGTTGAGATGTAGTAGTCTGATGGACGTTGAGGTATCCGGGTATACTGTTAGCGTTGAGAGAGCGCTAGGAAGGCTATGTACGCCTATAGTCAAAGTAGAAGCTGGAAGTGGTGTAAGACTGAAATATACGCCAGAACCTGAGATAACATCGTATCATCGCCAGAGTAGGTTTTCTTAGTCGGTATGCATAGGCCGCCTGCTTGTATGATGTCAGCTCGGCGTCCTAACCGACACAGATCTGCTACCACTGGGCCTGCAAAAGCGTCATAGAACTGAGAGTCATATGGTTTAACAAATTCATGTCATAACCAGCATTTTGTAACCATGACATATTGTCTTTTCTGTGGAGCCGAGATTTTGTCACTGATTGTGTTCCTCACACCCGAATGTGTCTAGAGGTTAAATGAAAGCCGTAGGATGCAGCTAGCCAAAATAAATGCCTTACTATCTTCATTGCTGCTGGGTTATGTAGAGGTACCTTTGTTAATAAGCGCATAGTTGCCGAAGAGTTATCGGTATAAATAATCACATGTTTCCGGCTCCATGCCGCGCCCATCTCCTCGCCGCGCATAACGATCGCCAAGTTCCTTGATGTTGATATGTTCATTACACAAGCATACCATGTCAGAACGCCACGCTATATAAACCCAATCACGATTGTAAATGCCGCCACGCCAGTGTCGCGACGCATCTGTCGTAAACTCCTCGTAGGATATTGGTTCGCCTTGGATTACAAAGGTAGTACCATTAAATATTGACATAAAATCTAACCACCACTTGATATCTGCTCTGGCGGAGGCATTAAGTGCAATAAAGTGATGTTTTTGCCGGACACTGTTACATACGATCCTATCAACCGTCTGAGAAATGCACGTCCCCACGGATTGCACGTGCTGCCCAGCAGCTTACCGATCAGTTTCTGCAATTGATGTTTAGTCGGTCGCTTGAGGTCGCTTACGTTATGTAACAATGTTTTCACTTCCATCGATTTCTGATCAGGGAGAGTTAAGGTTCCTGCACAGCTATCTATCTCAATTCCTAGAAAGGTCAGCTTTTGTGCTGGTTCAACAAACTTGTCATAGTTAATTGTAAAGCCTAATGATTCAATCAATTCTTGAAGACACTTAACTGCTAATTCGCATGTCTGTTTACACTTTGCTATGATCAGAAAGTCATCCAAGTACACCAAAATACACTCAAAGCCCCTTAACGTCCATGCAGTGAGGGGGTTGTCAAAGCCAGAGTTGAGATGTAGTAGTCTGATGACGTTGAGGTATCCGGGTATACTGTTAGCGTTGAGAGAGCGCGCTAGGAAGGCTATGTACCGGCCTATAGTCAAAGTAGAAGCTGGAAGTGGTGTAAGACTGAAATATACGCAGAACCTGAGATAACATCGTATCATCGCAGAGTAGGTTTTCTTAGTCGTGTATGCATAGGCCGCCTGCTTGTATGATGTCAGCTCGGCGCCTAACCGACACAGATCTGCTACCACTGGGCCTGCAAAACGTCATAGAACTGAGAGAGTCATATGGTTTAACAAATTCATGTCATAACCAGCATTTTGTAACCATGACATATTGTCTTTTCTGTGGAGCCGAGATTTTGTCACTGATTGTGTTCCTCACACCCGAATGTGTCTAGAGGTTAAATGAAAGCCGTGGGATGCAGCTAGCCAAAATAAATGCCTTACTATCTTCATTGCTGCTGGGTTATGTGAGGTACCTTTGTTAATAGCGTACATAGTTGCGAGTTATCGGTATAAATAATCACATGTTTCCCCGCTCCATGCCGCCGCCCATCTCCTCGCCGCCACGCCAACGATCGCCAAGTTCCTTGATGTTGATATGTTCATTACACAAGCATACCATGTCAGAACGCCACGCTATATAAACCCAATCACGATTGTAAATGCCGCCGCCAGCCAGTCGCGACGCATCTGTCGCAAACTCCTCGAGGATATTGGTTAGCCTTGGATTACAAAGGTAGTACCATTAAATATTGACATAAAATCTAACCACCACTTGATATCTGCTCTGGCGGAGGCATTAAGTGCAATAAAGTGATGTTTTGCGGACACTGTTACATACGTCTATCAACCGTCTGAAATGTACGCGTCCCCGGATTGCACGTGCTGCCCAGCTTAGCTTACCGATCAGTTTCTGCAATTGATGTTTAGTCGGTCGCTTGAGGTCGCTACGTTATGTAACAATGTTTTTCACTTCCATCGATTTCTGATCAGGGAGAGTTAAGGTTCCTGCACAGCTATCTATCTCAATTCCTAGAAAGGTCAGCTTTTGTGCTGGTTCAACAAACTTGTCATAGTTAATTGTAAAGCCTAATGATTCAATCAATTCTTGAAGACACTTAACTGCTAATTCGCATGTCTGTTTACACTTTGCTATGATCAGAAAGTCATCCAAGTACACCAAAATACACTCAAAGCCCCTGCGTCTCATCATGCAGTGATGCTCGAAGAATGCACGCTGAAATATTTCGGGCTTTTAGCAGAACCAAGCGGCAGTCTCGTATCGATCATATAAGTCAACTTGTTATCGCCGGTGAATTCCCATTGTAAACCCAAAGCATCATAACAATCAGGGTGGACCGGGACGCTTCTATAGGCGTTCTTAAGGTCAATCTTTGCCATGTAGCCATTACGTGGTAAAAGCTGCACTGCTTTGTCAATTGTATCATAGGCTACGTGACTAGTTGTGACATAATCATTAACACTAAGACCTACTGGCCTACTACAATCATGGATGAGTCGAACTCCGAATCTCCTTTAGGAATAGCAGCGATACTGCTCACAATAGTAGGCTTATGTGACACTTTAGCGTAGTTACCTACATCTAGTTCTTGAAGTAGCTTTTCCTCAACTTTCACAAAATTTTCTTCGCACAGTGCAGATTTAGAATTATCACATTCCACTTGCTTGACATCCGCATCTCTGTCAATGATCCTAAAACCGTGAGTTATACCAAGTAGAATAAAATCTTTGTCATTATCCCCCTCTAACTTTCGGTTTCCCATAGGTCTAACGCATGAGTCAAGGGGTTAGGCTGTAGTTGCTACTGCCGTCTATGTGGTTGAGAGCCTGACCACGATTTGTGAGCTGGAGGCTGGGCTGGGGTGTGGTTCTGAGACTGAGACTGGTGGCGTACTCGGGTGTGGCCCGTAGCAGATGACATTGCGTGCGCAAGCATATTTACAGTTGGTATACCGGCAACCTGAGTGGTTCTGAAAATTTATACAGATTTCTTTACTGCCGTTAGTTGGACGGCCGCCATGGTTTCTTTACTGAAGCTGGTTCATTTTTTTTTCTAGATAATAAAACATGCTATGATAATCTATATCAGTCCACTTCTTGGCCTCTTCTGTCTGTGATTTCCCTATGCATATAGTCAAAAGCATAACAGATGTAGCAGTATGCTGCTGAAGATAGTCGCCGATGTAAGCCATTATATTCTAGATATTCTATGGTTTGTTGTGGATCGAGGCGCGTAGATTTAAGCAGATTGATCATTATTCGTGCGTTAGCGGATATCCATTGCGCTGGATTTACTTGCTCCGGTCTAATCTTTGATTGAGAGTTTCGTTTAAGCAGAACTGTACCCTCAGCGGCATTGAAAATGTCCTGAGATTCCTGAACTACCGCCCTAGGTCTCGTTACAAAATCGGTGATATAGAGTAGACGCTCACCTTGTAAGGCCTTCCGTGCAACGTGGTCCGCATGTTCCGTATTTAGAACGTCTTGGAGTGTCTTTACACGTCGACTGCAGCCGCGAGACTGACTCTTCGTCCCGTATGACGACGAGTATGCGCATGTCGTCACGCCGCGCCGCGCGCGTGCAAGCTTGCGTGGCGGGGTGCCGTTTTCCCGATACTGGCGGTGAGGAGCCCGTCTGTCCATGACCTGGAGTTAAACTTTAATAATATAAATTATTACCCCCATAACTGTGCTGTCAGGTTAATTGAAATGTGTTGAAGTGGGGAGTGGGGTAGGGTGGAGGGATCGGTGAGGTTGGGCAGGGTGGCAGTGATCGGTGAGGGTAAGGTTGGGCAGGGTGGCAGTGAGGGTGAGGTTAGGCAGGGTGGCAATGAGGGTGAGGTTAGGCAGGGTGGCAGTGAGGGTGAGGTTAGGCAGGGTGGCAGTGATCGGTGAGGGTAAGGTTGGGCAGGGTGGCAGTGATCAGTCAGGGTAAGGTTGGGCAGGGTGGCAGTGATCAGAGGGTGAGGTTGGGCAGGGTGGGTGATCAGTGAGGGTGAGGTTAGGCAGGGTGGCAGTGAGGGTGAGGGTAGGTTGGGCAGGGGTGCAGTGATCCCGGTCAGGGGTGGGCAAAAAGGTTGGGCAGGGGTGGCAGTGATCAGTCAGGGTAAGGTTGGGCAGGGTGGCAGTGATCAGTCAGGGTAAGGTTGGGCAGGGTGGCAGTGATCGGTGAGGGTGAGGTTGGGCAGGGTGGCAGTGAGGGTGAGGGTAAGGTTGGGCAGGGTGGCAGTGATCGGTGAGGGTAAGGTTGGGCAGGGTGGCAGTGATCAGTCAGGGTGAGGTTGGGCAGGGTGGCAGTGATCGGTCAGGGTAAGGTTAGGCAGGGTGGCAGTGATCAGTCAGGGTAAGGTTGGGCAGGGTGGCAGTGATCGGTGAGGGTGAGGTTGGGCAGGGTGGCAGTGATGGGTGAGGGTAAGGTTGGGCAGGGTGGCAGTGATCGGTGAGGGTGAGGTTAGGCAGGGTGGCAGTGATCAGTCAGGGTAAGGTTGGGCAGGGTGGCAGTGATCGGTGAGGGTGAGGTTGGGCAGGGTGGCAGTGATCGGTCAGGGTAAGGTTGGGCAGGGTGGCAGTGATCGGTGAGGGTGAGGTTGGGCAGGGTGGCAGTGATCAGTGAGGGTGAGGTTGGGCAGGGTGGCAGTGATCGGTGAGGGTGAGGTTAGGCAGGGTGGCAGTGATCAGTCAGGGTAAGGTTAGGCAGGGTGGCAGTGATCAGTCAGGGTGAGGTTAGGGCAGGGTGGCAGTGATCGGTGAGGGTGAGGTTGGGCAGGGTGGCAGTGATCAGTCAGGGTAAGGTTGGGCAGGGTGGCAGTGATCGGTGAGGGTAAGGTTGGGCAGGGTGGCAGTGATCGGTCAGGGTGAGGTTGGGCAGGGTGGCAGTGATCGGTGAGGTTAGGCAGGGTGGCAGTGATCGGTGAGGGTGAGGTTGGGCAGGGTGGCAGTGATTGGTGAGGGTGAGGTTAGGCAGGGTGGCAGTGATCAGGGTGAGGTTGGGCAGGGTGGCAGTGATCGGGGTGAGGGTGAGGCGGGGCAGTGGGCAGGGTGGCAGTGATCGGGTGAGGGTGAGGTTAGGCAGGGTGGCAGTGATCGGTGAGGGTGAGGTTAGGCAGGGTGGCAGTGATCGGGTGAGGGTGAGGCTGGGCAGGGTGGCAGTGATCAGTCAGGTTAGGCAGGGGTGGCGGTGCAGGGGAGGTTGGGCAGGGTGGCAAGGTGATGGGTCAGGGGTGAGGTTGGGCAGGGTGGCAGTGATCGGTCAGGATGAGGTTGGGCAGGGTGGCAGTGATCGGTGAGGTTAGGCAGGGTGACAGTGATCGGTGAGGGTGAGGTTGGGCAGGGTGGCAGTGATTGGTGAGGGTGAGGTCAGGCAGGGTGGCAGTGATCAGTGAGGTTAGGCAGGTTGGCAGTGATCGGTGAGGGTGAGGTTGGGCAGGGTGGCAGTGATCGGTGATCGGTGAGGTTGGGCAGGGTGGCAGTGATCGGTGAGGGTGAAGTTTGGCAGGGTGGCAGTGATCGGTGAGGGTAAGGTTGGGCAGGGTGGCAGTGATTGGTGAGGATGGGCAGGGTGGCAGTGATCGGTGAGGGTGAGGTTGGGCAGGGTGGCAGTGATTGGTGAGGGTGAGGTTGGGCAGGGTGGCAGTGATTGGTGAGGTTGGGCAGGGTGGCAGTGAAGGGGATGTCATTGATCTTCCCCTCATCGTAATCACACATAGTCACACATATTGTTCTGTGGGTTACTCCCACATGTTGATTACACATGTTGTCACACACCCACATGTTGATCACACATATTGTCACACACCCACATGTTGATCACACATATTGTCACCCATCCACATGTTGATAATACATATTGTCACCCACCCACATGTTCATCATACATATTGTCACACCCCCACATGTTGATCACACATATTGTCACCCATCCACATGTTGATCACACATATTGTCACCCATCCACATGTTGATCATACATATTGTCACCCACCCACATGTTGATCACACATATTGTCACCCACCCACATGCTGATTACACATATTGTCACACACCCACATGTTGATCACACATATTGTCACCCATCCACATGTTGATCATACATATTGTCACCCATCCACATGTTGATCATACATATTGTCACCTACCCACATGTTGATCACACATATTGTCACATGTGGATCACATATATTGTCACACCCCCCCATGTTGATCATACATATTGTCACATGTGGATCACATATATTGTCACACACCCACATGTTGATCACACATATTGTCACCCATCCACATGTTTATCATACATATTTTCACCTACCCACATGTTGATCACACATATTGTCACATGTTGATCACACATATTGTCACACACCCACATGTTGATCACACATATTGTCACACACCCACATGTTGATCACACATATTGTCACCCACCCACATGTTGATCATACATATTGTCACCCGCCCACATGTTCATCATACATATTGTCACATGTGGATCACATATATTGTCACACACCCACATGTTGATCACACATATTGTCACCCACCCACATGCTGATTACACATATTGTCACCCACCCACATGTTGATCACACATATTGTCACACACCCACATGTTGATCACACATATTGTCACCCATCCACATGTTGATCATACATATTGTCACCCATCCACATGTTGATCATACATATTGTCACCTACCCACATGTTGATCACACATATTGTCACATGTGGATCACATATATTGTCACACACCCCCATGTTGATCATACATATTGTCACATGTGGATCACATATATTGTCACACACCCACATGTTGATCACACATATTGTCACCCATCCACATGTTTATCATACATATTTTCACCTACCCACATGTTGATCACACATATTGTCACATGTGGATCACATATATTGTCACACACCCCCATGTTGATCATACATATTGTCACATGTGGATCACATATATTGTCACACACCCACATGTTGATCACACATATTGTCACCCATCCACATGTTGATCATACATATTTTCACACCCACATGTTGATCACACATATTGTCACATGTGGATCACATATATTGTCACACACCCCATGTTGATCACACATATTGTCACATGTGGATCACATATATTGTCACACCCCCATGTTGATCATACATATTGTCACATGTGGATCACATATATTGCCACGACCCCACATGTTGATCACACACCAAACAAGTTGATCACATATTGTTAGCACACATCTTCAAGGCAGGTGTCATGAGTGATCCCCATGAGTTGATAATGTAGTGCATATAGTTTATGACACAGTGAGCAATATTCTGGCAGGTTGGCTGTAATTAATCCAGTTTGGACCAGCAAACCAGTGAGTGACAGCATGAGCATTGACTATCGGTTGGGGTCACAGTGACACACAATGTGCCACATCACTGGGACGCCATCCTTCCTCGGCTCTTTCAACAGGCATGAGATAAACATTTTCAATGAAGCTTTGTTTGATCAGGAAGTGTATATTTTGTGGTAGTTTCCAAACGTGGCCGAACTGTGACTTGACATGTACACCACGCATTGCCCTTTGTTTACAACAGCTTCATGATCAACATCACAAACAACTTATGCACATTATTTCCACTGTGTCTCACACAAGCTGTTTCTTCTATTTACCTGACATTTGGCTATCATTTTCAGGTATATTTATGTGTTTGTTTACTAGATATATGTCTGCTTGTCAAGGACTTGTTCTAAAGCTAGCTTTGCTGAGGAGGTTTTTCAAGCTAAGTTGCAGTGATCTGCACAGTGTAGTATCTGTATCTAGGATGCTGACAGTAAGCAAACAATTACATAGATGGAGAAAGTGTATTGATTTTAACTGGCTGCTCCCAACACTGTAAAGTAGTCAGACACGTCAGGAGAGGAGGAGTCTTCAGTGTTGTATCAGCTTGTTCAACTAGGTAGAGCTCTCTCGAGGAGAGAATTCTTCTTCTTCTTCATCATTGTCATTATCATCAACATTAGGTTGTTCAACTAGGTAGAGCTCTCTTGAGGAGAGTATTCTTCTTCTTCTTCATCATCATTGTCATTATCATCAACATTAGGTTGTTCAACTAGGTAGAGCTCTCTTGAGGAGAGTATTCTTCTTCTTCTTCATCATCATTGTCATTATCATCAACATTAGGTTGTTCAACTAGGTAGAGCTCTCTCGAGGAGAGTATCCTTCTTCTTCATCATCATTGTCATCATCATCATTAGGTTGTTCAACTAGGTAGAGCTCTCTCGAGGAGAGTATTCTTCTTCTTCATCATCATTGTCATTTTCATCAACATTAGGTTGTTCAACTAGGTAGAGCTCTCTCGAGGAGAGTATTCTTCTTCTTCTTCATCATCATTGTCATTTTCATCAACATTAGGTTGTTCAACTAGGTAGAGCTCTCTTGAGGAGAGTATTCTTCTTCTTCTTCATCATCATTGTCATTATCATCAACATTAGGTTGTTCAACTAGGTAGAGCTCTCTCGAGGAGAGTATCCTTCTTCTTCATCATCATCATTGTCATCATCATCATTAGGTTGTTCAACTAGGTAGAGCTCTCTCGAGGAGAGTATTCTTCTTCTTCATCATCATTGTCATTTTCATCAACATTAGGTTGTTCAACTAGGTAGAGCTCTCTTGAGGAGAGTATTCTTCTTCTTCATGATCATTGTCATTTTCATCAACATTAGGTTGTTCAACTAGGTAGAGCTCTCTCGAGGAGAGTATTCTTCTTCTTCATCATCATTGTCATTATCATCAACATTAGGTTGTTCAACTAGGTAGAGCTCTCTTGAGGAGAGTATTCTTCTTCATGATCATCATTGTCATTATCATCAACATTAGGTTGTTCAACTAGGTAGAGCTCTCTTGAGGAGAGTATTCTTCTCTTCTTCATCATCATTGTCATTATCATCAACATTAGGTTGTTCAACTAGGTAGAGCTCTCTCGAGGAGAGTATTCTTCTTCTTCATCATCATTGTCATTATCATCAACATTAGGTTGTTCAACTAGGTAGAGCTCTCTCGAGGAGAGTATTCTTCTTCTTCATGATCATCATTGTCATTTTCATCAACATTAGGTTGTTCAACTAGGTAGAGCTCTCTCGAGGAGAGTATTCTTCTTCTTCATCATCATTGTCATTTTCATCAACATTAGGTTGTTCAACTAGGTAGAGCTCTCTTGAGGAGAGTATTCTTCTTCTTCATCATCATTGTCATTATCATCAACATTAGGTTGTTCAACTAGGTAGAGCTCTCTCGAGGAGAGTATTCTTCTTCTTCATGATCATCATTGTCATTATCATCAACATTAGGTTGTTCAGCCTCTTGAGGAGTATTCTTCTTCTTCATCATCAGAGCTCTCAACATTGAGGTTCAAGAGTATCCTTCTTCTTCATGATCATCATTGTCATTATCATCAACATTAGGTTGTTCAACTAGGTAGAGCTCTCTCGAGGAGAGTATTCTTCTTCTTCATGATCATCATTGTCATTTTCATCAACATTAGGTTGTTCAACTAGGTAGAGCTCTCTTGAGGAGAGTATCCTTCTTCTTCATGATCATCATTGTCATTATCATCAACATTAGGTTGTTCAACTAGGTAGAGCTCTCTCGAGGAGAGTATCCTTCTTCTTCATCATCATCATTGTCATCATCAACATTAGGTTGTTCAACTAGGTAGAGCTCTCTCGAGGAGAGTATTCTTCTTCTTCATCATCATCATTGTCATTATCATCAACATTAGGTTGTTCAACTAGGTAGAGCTCTCTCGAGGAGAGTATTCTTCTTCTTCATCATCATTGTCATTATCATCAACATTAGGTTGTTCAACTAGGTAGAGCTCTCTCGAGGAGAGTATTCTTCTTCTTCTTCATCATCATTGTCATTATCATCAACATTAGGTTGTTCAACTAGGTAGAGCTCTCTCGAGGAGAGTATCCTTCTTCATGATCATCATTGTCATCATCAACATTAGGTTGTTCAACTAGGTAGAGCTCTCTCGAGGAGAGTATTCTTCTTCTTCATCATCATTGTCATTTTCATCAACATTAGGTTGTTCAACTAGGTAGAGCTCTCTCGAGGAGAGTATTCTTCTTCTTCATGATCATCATTGTCATCATCATCAACATTAGGTTGTTCAACTAGGTAGAGCTCTCTCGAGGAGAGTATCCTTCTTCTTCATGATCATCATTGTCATCATCAACATTAGGTTGTTCAACTAGGTAGAGCTCTCTTGAGGAGAGTATTCTTCTTCATGATCATCATTGTCATCATCAACATTAGGTTGTTCAACTAGGTAGAGCTCTCTCGAGGAGAGTATTCTTCTTCTTCATCATCATTGTCATCATCATCATCATCATGTTTTTCATCTGTTTAGAGATTTCTTGAGTAGAGTAGTGTATTTCATCATGTCATAATCAAGGTTAACATCTAAGTAGAGCTGATCTCTTGAGAGTAGTCATCATCATCATCATCATGGTGGCCTTGGTAAATGGGTTAGTAGTTAGAGCAGTAGAGCAGTTAGTAGTGCCTTAGTCATCCTGGGTGCCACATTGATGCATAGCGAAATGTTCCACGCTCCACTGAACCTGGGTGGGGTTCCATTTAACCATTAAGCATGAGTCTTGTGTTTGTCTGACCCATCTGTGTGGTTGGTTTTTGGTG